CACCAAGCAACAACCCTAGGTTCTCCCCTGAGAACCAGACCAAAAATTTTGTGTGCAACCCTTTATATTTATATCTAAATCTTTACACTATATCTCTTTTGGATCTTGAATATATATCTTGAATCCTATATCAATCCATCATCTATACCCACTTCTTCCTTTCAGGGTCACTGGTGCCCATGTCTTGTATGGTCTTCATTCCTTCTACAAATCACTTTATTTAACATCTGTGTTTATCAACTCGATTTCAGTTTATTGAACACAAGTTTTCTTAAAATTTCCTAAAAGTTTTAGCAAAATCTATTGATGAGTAATCTTGTGAACAGACAAACAAATAAACCAACGCTACAGACTCCATAACATCCAGAGCTCCTCCATAATATTTATGATAGTTACATGATTTGGAAAAAAAAAACAAATTCCCCATAATTCACACATTTCCACTTTTTATGGTTTCCCTTTCAAAGAAAAGCAAATGTTTCTGTCATAGCTCAAAATCATTTGCCTTTATATTAAAAGTCTGTGGGAGTTTCCTCCTGTGGTTGGTCACACCCAAACACCAACTTGTCTGACGGCTAACGTCCCAGCTCTTATTAAAACCTCCAGGGATGCAACTAATGTTTGGCACTTGGTCTGAAACCAAAATACAAGCAGATTCCTGCTATGATACAAAAAGGTAACAAACAAACAACAGCCATTACTCATCACCACAAACTTAATATTTTAAACCTTCCTCAGCTGAAATGTTTGGCCCGTGCCATGAGTGACTGACTTGTCTTGTAATACAACTCCAAATGCAAAACTAAAAACATAATGCAATGATTTGTAAACATTATAACACCATATTTTATGCAAAACTTAACAAATCAGATGTTGAAACTAACTGGCCCCTTTATCAGTGCATAGTTCATATGCCTGCCTTTTTGAAGCACATGTTTTACTACAACATCCAGGTGACTTCTTTAGAAACTTTGCATATTTCAGCAAGACAATGCCAAACTGTTTTAATAAGCAAACAAAACAAAACAAAAAAAGCTTATACAGTGTTAAAAGAATTTTGRCAATCAAGACAGAAAGACTTGAATTCCACGAGACCTTCCATGACGGCTTATCTTCTTTGTCTCTTTCCTCCTTCAAGCAGATTGTTTTATCCAGGATTGCTTTAGCTGAAAACATCCGTGCCAGATCCTTCACCTGAAACATATCAAACTTTTTAAACAAAGTGGAGAGGATACCTTTAAGAAAATCACCATCATATACCTGGCTGTTCAGGATTTACTTGTACTAACAGTTTTTTAAATGTTAACTACTACTTAAAGGAGGAGTACTGTGTATTTTCCAGGCACATAGTTTAATTCTATTATACAATCAAGTAACTATGTTATCCTTAGATGTTATGAAATTGCTGTATGTATAAAATTAAAATTGACATTGTTTCATAGTCTATCTGAATGCCTTGAAATTGTCTGTCTCTTTAAAGAGTAACTTACCCCAAAATTAACTTTTTTTAGCTGATAAACTGTCTAGAATGTGTC